CGCAACACACACACAAACACACACACACACACACACACACACACAACATACACACACACACACACACACACATTGCCAGACTCACACATACACTCCCCCCTCCCCCACCGACATCTCACTCCTTCACCTGATCCCTCCCCTCCCTCTTTTACCCTCCCCCTCCCCACCTCTCCCTCCTTCCCCCTCTCCCTCTCCCACTCCCATACTGGAGTATGCAGCACCAGTTTGGAATCCACACCTAGTCAAGCACGTCAAGAAATTAGAGAAAGTGCAAAGGTTTGCAACAAGACTAGTCCCAGAGCTACGGGGATTGTCTTACGAAGAAAGGTCGAGGGAAATCGGCCTGACGACACTGGAGGCCAGGAGGGTCAGGGGAGACATGATAACGACATATAAAATACTGCGCGGAATAGACGAGGTGGACAAAGACGGGATGTTCCAGAGATGGGACACAGATACATGAGGTCACAATTGGAAGTTGAAGACTCAGATGAATCAAAGGGATGTTAGGAAGTATTTCTTCAGTCATAGAGTAGTCAAGCCGTGGAATAGCCTAGAAAGTGAAGTATTGGAGGCGGGAACCATACATAGTTTTAAGGCGAGGTATGATAAAGCTCATGAGCAGAACCTAGTAGCGAACAGTGAAGAGGCAGGGCCAGGAGCTATGACTCGACCCCTGCAATTACAAATAGGTGAGTACAAATAGGTGAGTACACACACACACACACACGGAGAGAGTGGACCTAGTAGCAACCAGCGAAGAGGCGGGGCCAGGTGATGTGAATCGACCCTTGTATCCACAAATAGGTGAATAAACACACACACACACACACTCACACTCACAGGCCTAGCAAAAGAAGTAGCAATAGCCTGGTTGACCAGGGCGGCCTGCGGGGAAGAGTGGGCAGGATGCGTTAGTGCGAGGTCACGTGCGGGGCCAGCGCTCGTCGCAGCCGCAGCCGCCCTAAGTATGCTATGGAGGAGCTTAGACACAGGCGAGATTCCACAGTCACTAAAAACAACAGATAAAAGCCCAACTCCATAAAGGTGGCAGCAAAGCAGTAGCTAAGAACTATAGACCAATAGCATTAACGCGTCATATCATAAAAATCTTTGAAAGAGTTCTAAGAAGCAGGATTGCAAACCACCTGGACTCCCAAAAATTGCACAACCCAGGGCAACATGGTTTCAGAGCAGGTCGCTCCTGCCTTTCACAACTGCTTGACCACTATGACATGGTCCTAGATGCACTGGAAAACAAACAGAATGAAGATGTAGTATACACAGACTTTGCAAAAGCCTTTGAGAAGTGCGACCATGGTGTAATACCACACAAAATGCGTGCTAAAGGGATAACCGCAAAGTAGGCAGATGGATCTTCAACTTTCTAACCAATCGCACACAAAGAGTAGTGGTAAACAGAGTTAAATCAGATGCTGCCATAGTGAAGAGCTCTGTCCCACAAGGCACAGTACTCGCACCTATCCTGTTCCCTTTTCTCATATCAGACATAGAGATGTAAACCATAACACAGAATCATCCTTGCAGACGATACTAGGATCTGCATGAGAGTGTCATCCACTGAGGACACGGCAAAGCTCCAAGAAGATATAAACCAAGTTTTCCAATGGGCAACAGAGAACAATATGATGTTCAATGAAGACAAATTCCAACTACTCCGTTATGGAAAACTGGAGGAAATAATAACTAGGACTGAGTATACTACAAACTCTAACCACACAATAGAGCGGAAAAGTAATGTGAAGGACCTGGGAGTGGTAATGTCCGAAGACCTCACCTTCAAGGACCACAACAATGCCACTATCACATCTGCGAGAAACTGATAGGATGGATAATGAGAACATTTAAGACAAGAGATGCTAAGCCAATGATGATCCTTTTTAAATCACTTATTCTCTCTAGGCTGGAATACTGCTGTACATTAACATCCCCATACAGAGAACAGAGAACCTGTACTGCACGTATAAGTTCCACCAAACACCTTAACTACTGGGAGCTCCTGGAAGCACTTGACTTGTACTCACTGAAGCGCAGGCGAGAGAGATATATCATAATTTACACCTGGAAGATTCTGGAGGGACTGGTCCCTAATATGAAATCAGCAATCACTCCATACGAAAGCAAAAGACTTGGCAGGCGATGCAACATACCTCCAGTGAAAAGTAGAGGCGTCACTGGTACACTAAGAGAAAACACAATAAGTGTCCGGGGCCCAAGACTGTTCATCAGCCTCCCACCACCAATAAGGAACATTACAGGTAGACCCCTGGTTGTCTTCAAGAGGGAGCTGGACAGATACCTAAAGACGGTGCCGGATCAGCCGGGCTGTGGTTCGTACGATGGATTGCGTGCGGCCAGCAGTAACAGCCTCGTTGATCAGGCCCTGATCCACCGGGAGGCTTGGTCGTGGACCGGGCCGCTGGGGCGTTGATCCCCAGAATGCCCTCCAGGTAGACTCCAGGTAGGTCGCCGCAGCCGCCGCTGCCGCTGCTTGCGGGGCCGCGATACGGTTAGTGAACCAAACGATGATGAATGAGTGTAAATATGTACAAGGAGTGTAGGAGAGTGATTTAGAGCCAAGGAACGTAACATTAAGGTAACCCGTGCACTGCTTAAACACACCCTCCTCCCTCTATCCCATCTCCCCCCATATCGTCCCAAACTTCCTCACTCCCGTCCTCATTCCCCCGTCCTTACTCCCTCCTCCCGCCGCAGCCGCAGAATAATCACACAGGAGGAGGTACCGAATACCTGCGGCAGGAGGTACCACAATAATACCTGCGACAGGAGGTACTACAGTAGCACTGTGGCAGCAGATACCTCAATAATACATGCGGCAGGAGGTATCGTAATAATTCCTGCGGCAGGAGGAGGAAGTACGGTATCTCATGTATGGTCAGGGAGAGACGTGATAGGACAGGTTACAAATGACTTGCGATTAAGTAGGACTTTGATTTTGATTTTGGGGATCATCGCTCCCTCCTAACCCCCTCGTATCCTTCTCTCATGTCAGCTACTTGTGTCCAACATTGACGTAAACACAACAGTACAGCTAATCAGAAGCATTGTCATTGTTATATGTGAAGATAGTCGTCAGAGTTATCTCTGGGATTGGAGAGCAAGTACTTATACGTAATGAATTATCTCGTACTGTACTTATTGGACTAACACTTATTCATTTGGTGTATGTTGTATTGTCAGCAAGGTTGTCACTCTCGTGAGTTGTTATTTCAGTGTGCGGTTTTGGAAATCGTCCATCCAGTGCATTTTAAGCGAGCCTGCGATCCAGAGGGTAGACTTGTAAGAAGGTTAAGTACACCTAGTAACTCAAATACCTGAACTGGTAGAAGCAGTGAAAGCTCTCTCGACATTCTCCGGGTCTGCGGTGTGGTCTGCCTTAGATGGGAGTGTTAGTGTAGAGCAGAATTCCAGTTCTTTAAAGTGTATCATTGTTGTCTCGGCAGGTTTTCCTGACTGCTCTCGTTGCCCAGCCTTTAATTTTCCTTGTAGGTGTGAGAGTAAGATTGTCAGGCGTGGTAACTCGAATAAGATTTTCACGCATGGTAACTCGAGTAAGATTTTCACGCATGGTAACTCGAGTAAGATTTTCACGCATGGTAACTCGAGTAAGATTTTCACGCATGGTAACTCGAGTAAGATTTTCACGCATGGTAACTCGAGTAAGATTTTCACGCATGGTAACTCGAGTAAGATTTTCACGCATGGTAACTCGAGTAAGATTTTCACGCATGGTAACTCCATTATATTTTCCGCTGTCTCGAAGTTTTCATGGTAATCTGGAATTTTTCAGCCGGTAACCGAAAAATTTTCATTGTCTCCAGTAAGTTTTCCCCACTGGTAACTTTAGTAAGATCCCCAAAACTGATTTAAATTTTCAGCATGGTAACACGAGTAATATTTGTCAGTGGGAACCGAGTAAGTTTCCGTATTAAACCTCGACTGACACTGGTTCAGTTAGATGTTTGCTGGTAACTCGAGGTCCATGGTCCCCGAGGTTTTCTCGTATGGTACTCCACTCATAAATTCTTTCACTCTTCAAATGTTTATACACTGCTTTTGGTTGTGACCTTTTCTTTCGACCAGAATTGCCGAGCCCCGAAGAATATAAAATGGTTTAAATAAAACTGAGGAAATATAAATTGAGGAAAACCCCAAAGCTTTTTTTTTTGTTTTATTTCCTGGGACTGCCCTCTGATTTTTACTCAAAATGTACATTACTTATTGGAAGAAATTAAAAAATTAAAATTAACTTGGGCATTTTTTTTTGATATCCTCTTTTTTTGTATTATTTAAATATTATTAATATATATTTTTTATATATATATATATATATATATATATATATATATATATATTTATATATATATATATATATATTATATATATATATTATATATAATATAATAATAAGGTATATAGTTGAATGTATTCTATAGAGATTTTATATGCAATAACACCAGTAGGATAGGGGCAGTGTTGAGGAAATAGGGGGGAAGTTTCAAATTTCGATAGGGGTTGTTTTGTTATTGTCACCTGTAGACGGAGCACCACCTCCTCTGGTGAAGAATTAGACGCATGTGCGATGTCTGGGTGACGTTCGTCCTCCAGTCACTCTATCAATGGATAAAAATAAACGCGAATGCCTTATAATGAGATCCTTTACTGACTACGTTTCGCCCACACGGTGGACTTTATCAAGTCACATAGTCAAACGTAGTCAATAAATTGTTATAATAAACAAGAAGCGCTAAACCCGTAGTCAGTAAAGGATCGCATATTATTGCAATGTGTTTATTTTGATTTTTTTCCCAACTTGTCAGTGTTTTATACCTTCTTATCTCCTTCTGCTTTATCAATACAAATTCAAGGACATAATGGGATGACTGAAGAACTATGTACAAAAGATGAGCTAATCAGTCCCTCAGCCTTGGCGAGGAGACTTTGTGTGTTACTGATGAAAGCATAAGCATAGTTTACTCTATTCTTAGACTGAGTTTTCTTATAAATAAGACAACGACTGACTTACCCGCGAGAAATGACTGAGAAGTGTTGAGAGCGTCACTCAAGGCGGTGTTGGGCGCAAGTCGGGCGTCGGGAGGAGCTGATGTCCCGTTCCCGACGGGGAAATTGGGCGGCAGGAGCGGCCCAATGTTGTGGTTCTGGGCGTTCTTGTTGTTGTTGGTGGCGGTGGTGGTGGTGGTGGTGGTAGTGGTGGTGGTGATCGTCGTAGTGGTGGCGGACGTGTTGGAGGAAGAGGCAGTGGTGGTGGCGGCGCTGTTATTGTTGTTGGTGGTATGGAAGGAGTTGGCTGAGGTGGTGGCGGCGTTGTTGTTGTTGTTGTTGGTGGTGGTTGTGGTTGTTGCTGGGGTTGGTGGCGTGGTAGGGCGTGGGTGGTGGAGTGTGGGTGGGAGTCTGGACCGAAGTGTTACCAGCTCACAGCCCAGGGAACGCAGCCGTTGCTCCAACTGCGCCGCCTCGCTCGTCCCGCACGCATCTGCATCAAGGAAGAAGAAGATGGTCAACATCAATACATCGAGATAATCAAAGGCACTAACATAAACACAAGCACGTGGGGCCAGGAGCTGAGACTCTACCATCCCTTTCAAGTACAAAAATACGTACATGGTAACTTAATGACAGAGGATCGCGTAGGGAAGGGAACTAACTCTGGGTATTGGATGTATCCAGTGTCCTCGCGGCTCTCTCTCGCAACAAACCCGTCTCAGGATGCGAGAAAAAGCTGGATGCTTTAGTGTAGGGCATCAATGTGGAGCATCAGTGTGTAGCATCAATGTGGAGCATCAATGTGGAGCATCATTGTGGAGCATCAATGTGGAGCATCAGTGTGGAGCATCAATGTGGAGCATCAATGTGGAGCATCAGTGTGTAGCATCAATGTGGAGCATCAGTGTGGAACATCAATGTGGAGCATCAATGTGGAGCATAAATGTGGAGCATCAATGTGGAGCATAAATGTGGAGCATCAATGTGGAGCATCAGTGTGTAGCATCAATGTGGAGCATCAATGTGGAGCGTCAGTGTGGAACATCAGTGTGGAGCATCAATGTGGAGCATCAATGTGGAGCATCAGTGTGTAGCATCAATGTGGAACATCAGTGTGGAACATCAATGTGTAGCAGCAATGTGGAGCATCAGTGTGGAGCATCAGTGTGGAGCATCAATGTGGAGCATCAATGTGGAGCATCAGTGTGTAGCATCAATGTGGAATATCAGTGTGGAGCATCAATGTGGAGCATCAATGTGGAGCACCAGTGTGGAGCATAAATGTGGAGCATCAATGTAGAGCATCAGTGTGGAGCATCAGTGTGGAGCATCAGTGTGGAGCATCAGTGTGGAGCATCAACGTGGAGCACCAATTTGGAGCATCAGTGTGGAGCATCAGTGTGGAGCATCAATGTGGAGCATCAACGTGGAGCATCAGTGTTGAGCATCAGTGTGGAGCATCAATGTGGAGCATCAGTGTGGAGCATCAGTGTGGAGCATCAGTGTGGAGCATCAGTGTGGAGCATCAGTGTGGAGCATCAGTGTGGAGCATCAACGTGGAGCACCAATTTGGAGCATCAGTGTGGAGCATCAGTGTGGAGCATCAATGTGGAGCATCAACGTGGAGCATCAGTGTTGAGCATCAGTGTGGAGCATCAATGTGGAGCATCAGTGTGGAGCATCAGTGTGGAGCATCAGTGTGGAGCATCAGTGTGGAGCATCAATGTGGAGCATCAACGTGGAGCATCAGTGTTGAGCATCAGTGTGGAGCATCAATGTGGAGCATCAGTGTGGAGCATCAGTGTGGAGCATCAGTGTGGAGCATCAATGTGGAGCATCAACGTGGAGCATCAGTGTTGAGCATCAGTGTGGAGCATCAATGTGGAGCATCAGTGTGGAGCATCAGTGTGGAGCATCAATGTGGAGCATCAACGTGGAGCATCAGTGTTGAGCATCAGTGTGGAGCATCAATGTGGAGCATCAGTGTGGAGCATCAGTGTGGAGCATCAGTGTGGAGCATCAGTGTGGAGCATCAATGTGGAGCATCAGTGTGGAGCATCAGTGTGGAGCATCAGTGTGGAGCATCAATGTGGAGCATCAACGTGGAGCATCAGTGTTGAGCATCAGGGGTGGAGCATCAATGTGGAGCATCAGTGTGGAGCATCAGTGTGGAGCATCAGTGTGGAGCATCAATGTGGAGCATCAGTGTGGAGCATCAGTGTGGAGCATCAGTGTGGAGCATCAATGTGGAGCATCAACGTGGAGCATCAGTGTTGAGCATCAGTGTGGAGCATCAATGTGGAGCATCAGTGTGGAGCATCAGTGTGGAGCATCAATGTGGAGCATCAACGTGGAGCATCAGTGTTGAGCATCAGTGTGGAGCATCAATGTGGAGCATCAGTGTGGAGCATCAGTGTGGAGCATCAGTGTGGAGCATCAATGTGGAGCATCAGTGTGGAGCATCAGTGTGGAGCATCAGTGTGGAGCATCAGTGTGGAGCATCAATGTGGAGCATCAGTGTGGAGCATCAGTGTGGAGCATCAATGTGGAGCATCAGTGTGGAGCATCAATGTGGAGCATCAGTGTGGAGCATCAGTGTGGAGCATCAATGTGGAGCATCAACGTGGAGCATCAGTGTTGAGCATCAGTGTGGAGCATCAATGTGGGGCATCAGTGTGGAGCATCAGTGTGGAGCATCAGTGTGGAGCATCAATGTGGAGCATCAACGTGGAGCATCAGTGTTGAGCATCAGTGTGGAGCATCAATGTGGAGCATCAGTGTGGAGCATCAGTGTGGAGCATCAGTGTGGAGCATCAGTGTGGAGCATCAATGTGGAGCATCAGTGTGTAGCATCAGTGTGGAGCATCAATGTGGAGCATCAGTGTGGAGCATCAGTGTGGAGCATCAGTGTGGAGCATCAGTGTGGAGCATCAGTGTGGAGCATCAATGTGGAGCATCAGTGTGGAGCATCAATGTGGAGCATCAATGTGGAGCATCAGTGTGGAGCATCAATGTGTAGCATCAGTGTGGAGCATCAGTGTGGAGCATCAATGTGGAGCATCAATGTGGAGCATCAGTGTGGAGCATCAATGTGGAGCATCAATGTGGAGCATCAGTGTGGAGCATCAATGTGGAGCATCAATGTGGAGCATCAGTGTGGAGCATCAATGTGGGAGCATCAATGTGGAGCATCAATGTGGAGCATCAGTGTGGAGCATCAATGTGGAGCATCAGTGTGGAGCATCAATGTGGAGCATCAATGTGGAGCATCAATGTGGAGCATCAGTGTGGAGCATCAATGTGGAGCATCAGTGTGGAGCATCAATGTGGAGCATCAGTCCTCGGTCTTCAGGTGAAGAAAATGATGTAACAGGAGAGACAGACGAGATGAACCTGACATCACTGGAAGAGTGAAGCATCAAAGAAAACAACAGTGACAGAGACAGTGACAGTGACAGAAACAGTGACAGAGACAGTGACACTGACAGAAGCAGTGACAGAGACAGTGACACTGACAGAAGCAGTGACAGAGAGAAAATTATGATCACCAGGAAACAATGACAGTGACGGAGACAATGACAGTGACAGAGACATTGACAGAGACAATGACAGTGACAGAGACAGTACCAGTGACAGAGACAGTGACAGAGACAATGACAGTGACAGAGACAGTACCAGTGACAGAGACAGTGACAGAGACAATGACAGAGACAGTGACAGAAACAGTGACAGAGACAGTGACAGTGACAGAAACAGTGACAGAGACAGTGACAGGAACAGTGACAGAGACAGTGACAGTGACAGAAACAGTGACTGAGGTTAGAAGGGAAAGTTTGTATATTAGATGTGTGAAGTGTGTGTGTTGTGTGTGTGTGTGTGTGTTGTGTGTGTGTGTGTGTGTGTGTGTGTGTGTGTGTGTGTGTGTGTGTGTGTGTGTTGTGTGTGTGTTGGTGTGTGTGTGTGTGTTGTGTGTGTGTGTGTGTGTGTGTGTGTGTGTGTTGTGTGTGTGTGTGTGTGTGTGTGTGTGGTGTGTGTGTGTGTGTGTGTGTGTGTGTGTGTGTGTGTGTGTGTGTGTGTGTGTGTGTGTGTGTGTGTGTGTGTGTGTGTGTGTGTGTGTGTGTGTGTGTGTGTGTGTTGTGTGTTGTGTGGTGTGTGTGTGTGTGTGTGTTGTGTGTGTTGGTGTGTGATGTGTGTGTGTGTGTGTGTGTGTGTGTGTGTTGTGTGTGTGTGTGTGTGTGTGTGTGTGTGTGTGTGTGTGTGTGTGTGTGTTGTGTGTGTATGTGTGTGTGTGTGTGTGTGTGTGTGTGTGTGTGTATGTGTGTGTGTGTGTGTGTGTGTTGTGGTGTGTATGTGTGTGTGTGTGTGTGTGTGTGTGTGTGTGTGTGTGTGTGTGTGTGTGTGTGTGTGTGTGTGTGTGGTGTATGTGTTGTGTGTGTGTGTGTGTGTGTGTGTGTGTGTATGTGTGTGTGTGTGTGTGTGTGTGTGTGTGTGTGTGTATGTGTGTGTGTGTGTTGTGTGTGTGTGTGTGTGTGTATGTGTGTGTGTGTGTGTGTGTGTGTGTGTGTGTGTGTGTGTGGTGTGTGTGTGTGTGTGTGTGTGTCTTTAATTCGAGCAGAAAGTCAGCAGGACAAATATAATAATTAGTCGTGACAACTAAGCTCTCTGGTCCCTTCCATTAAGTTCACTATGGAATGTGAATTAAATGGAATAATCCCATTTCTGGATACATATTCATGAATCTGGTTAAACATTTAATTTCCATGTTTATCGCAAGCCTACTAACATATGTTCATACAAACATTACTATTCCAATCACCAAACACGTATTAAACAGGGTGTATATAATTATATATTTTTGAAAGCCCATAGGATTTGTCACCTTGAATTCTATGATGGAAAAGTTAGAAAATCTATAAAATTGCTTCTAATTTACAATATCCACAAATATTTATTGGTAAAGCTTTTAATAAAGCTGAAAAAAAAATCTACAAGACAAACTAATAACGAGTATAAACTTGAGAATTTGTTTGTTTTACCATATAATGAAAATCTCTCACTTTCCACAAGCTCTTTAACACTTTAATTTTGTCTTTAAATTTGACAATACCGCAAAACAAGTTAATTAAAAATTTCCCAAACAATCTTTGAGTTGAGTATAATCCTGGTGAAAGTTATGGCAGCTTTTATCTAGAACTGGTAAGTCTCTTGAGACCAGAGTTAAACAGCATAAATATGCATTAACTACTGGCCAAGAATCCAATGTTTTGTTCATCATGTAAGAGATACAGACCATTGTGTAGACTGGACTAATGCCAAAGAATTACTTCCCTATGATTCTACAGTTCAATGGAATATTGTTAAATCATCTGTTAAGTATGACACAAAACATATTTCAAATTTGAGTTCTGGACTGTATAAACTTGACAGTTTTATAGACCAGAATATTCTTCATAATCTTAAAGGTTATAAATATTTTTCACAAAATACAGA